TAACTCCCAACTGGATTCGTCTGAAAGAAGAAAGTCATATACATCTAGGATGACTTGAGGGTGAGTAATTTGTGGGCTAATTTTCATTTTTGGGTGAACTAACCCTTTAAGAGTTTGTTTAGTGTGAACCTATGATGAATGTGCATGTACCTCCACACAGTTGTCACACACGGAGCAGTGTGAACAGCGCGGTGGTCTGTAAAAGCGACACGTGGAGCACCACTTCATCCGCACCTGAATGCCCCTCACCTCCACCGTCTTATAAAGCGGAGCCCGGAAATCATCCTCTTTGTCCTCATCTTCTTCAGCTGCAAAACATACAATCTCATGAAAACTGCTGTTTTCAGCGTTCACATCATACTTCCCCACAAAATCAACACAAAAATATAAGAAAAGTATATTTTGCATTTAAACAATTAAGCCTAATTTGAGGACCACTGAGGTTTCTTTTATATTATACTTACGACACGTGAAAGTAATGTTTATTTTAATGTGCAAAAAAATTAATTTGTAAAATCAGAATCAGAAGAGCTTTATTACCATGTATGTTTACACACAAGGAATTTGACTTGACGACAGGAGCTTCCAGTGTAGAAGAAAGTACAGACATAGTGCAGACATACATAGGAATAACACAGTAGGGATGGAATATAACACTAATGTAAGAAAAAAAACCTGAAATTAAATAATGTACTATATACAGAAATAGAAGTATAGATAAAAAATGTAATTGTTTAGATAAATGTACAGATATGTTATAAGTGTGCAGATATGTTATTTACAAAGTGTGCAGTTTACAAGTGTCAAAATTTTGGATTCTGTATATAAATATGCTACTGATCAAAGGTTTGGGGTCAGTAAAATTTGTAATGTTTTCAAAAGAAGTCTCTTACGCTCATCAAGGATGCATTAATTTGATCGAAAATACCGTAAAAAACATTACTGCGTAAAATATTATTACAACTGAAAATATATTTTTTCTTTATGTAATATATTTATTTGATGGCAAAACTGAATTCTTAAATGTCACGTGATCCTTCAGAAATCAATATGCTGATTTGTTGCTCAAGAAACATTTCTTATTATCAGTGTTGAAAACTGTTGTACTGTTTAATATTTTTCTGGAAGCCATGATACATTTAAGATTTAAGATTCTTAATCAATATCTTAATAATTTATAGAAAGTTGTTGGAAGAACAGCATTTATATGAAATAGAAATCTTTAGTAACATTATAAATGTCTTTTCTGTCACTTCTGATCAATTTGTTTTAATTTGGACAAATTTGATTAATTTGTCCTTGCTGAATAAAAGCATTAATTTCTTGAAAAAAGATTTTCCTGACTCTAAACTTAAACTTTTGAACAGTAGTGTACATTTGTTAGTATCCATCATATTTCTTTTAACTGATAATAAGAAAACACTTTTTGGGTATGGTAATAACTATGGTAACTGCTATTAGTATATTAATATAATATAGATACTGATATAGATCTATCAGGGGAATCTTACTTTATTATCATTAAAATAATTTCACAATCTTTAAGATCGTGTATAAGGATTGGGGTGAAAAATATCTCAGATATTTCTCTTCACCCACCTTCACAAAACTAAGTAGGATTTACTCACGTTTTCCCAATGTAAATTGCATAAAACATAAGTGTGTACCTCTAGGAAAGATGCCGGGGTCCATGAATGTGGCCATACAGAAATTGGCCAGTGTGAAGAGGAAGACCACAGCATTATAGAGCGGAATGGAGGAGGAGAACCGGTCTGACAGCCACGGACATCTGCACAGAGATGCCTCACATTACACTTACTGTATTGCTGATATATTCGATTTGTATTTTAATGAATTTAGGTTCTACTCACGTGAAACAGAGAAACAGCGTTGTGGCCCCCACAAGGAAGGCGGTTGCTGCGGACACAGGCACATAGCGACTGGGGCGGAATGGGTGGGAGTCTCCGTGAGCCCCGCCCACACTGAGACCCACAGGCATTTGGAGGCGTCAAAAAAACTGGGGAACGGGGAGGTGTCAGGGAGAGAAGGAAAGTCGTCTCCCACCTGAGTGAGGATGGTGTGTAGCCATGGTCATAACAATAAATTTAGTGAAACAGATTATGTTCTCATAAATCAAGGTGCAATTCTTTCCAAAAAACAAACCTTAACGTAAAACAGTGCAGATGACTTTTTGTATACGTCTATGCTGATACATAAAAAATAGACTAAATTCATATACACATAATATGCGATACTATGACTTTACTGTAATACAAAAATAGCTCTAGTTTCATTAAAAATAAGTTAATATGGCTTGAATGTAAGAAGATTTGGTCAATAAAAAAAAAAATCAAGTGACAGCAATGCTCTTTTAGTGCAAATCTCCGGTAAGCCCCATGTTACACCAAAAAGAGCTCAAAGAAAGCAGCAACTTGAGTTCAGGCATTCATAAAGTACTCGCTCAGAGACCAATCTCCAATCTCTCAAAGCATCACAGCAGATGAGTGCATGTGAGCATGACGTTAGACTACAGAAAGAAAAAATAACAGTTTTGATGGGAGGTATACAGTGAAACAAAAAGAAAAAAGAAACTACAAGACAAAAAATATGACTCTCTTTCTACAGTCTCAGTGGAGTCTGGATTCCCTCCAGAACAGTCCGTCTAAGAAAAGACCGTAATTACGAGTACAAAATATGAAACGGAGCTCTTGATGTCTTGTGCCCTAAATGAGAGCTCATTCTCCAATCTCAGGTGATCTAGGCTCACACTTTGATGAGAGACAAACTGGCCGAAAAGTGAGCAGAAAAACACGGTTTGCAAAGTCACATGAATCTTGCAAGTGCAGTTATCCACATGATAAGTTGTGTTTCAGACGTCCATGTGCAAAAAATGTACGCCCACACCAGAGTGTGTGTCCACCATCGCAACTGCACACGATCCGTTTGTGTCCAGGGTTGAAAACTTCTGGTTGTGGTAACTCATGAGCGTGCAAAACCATTTTAACCCTGCATAGCGTCCCATGAGGCCCTTCTTCCTCACAAGGATGAGACTGATGAGTCTAAAATGCCGCCCTCCTCCTTTCTGATTCCTTAACAGGCCTGAGCGGTATCTATAAGAAGAGAAGATAATTAAACACGTAAATATGAACTCAAGACCTGATCTTACAAATTCTTCAAGTTCTCCATACTGGTTCCAAGCAGCCCATATCATACGAATGATCACATGAACTAGGCGAAACATAAAGCAATGAATTGTGAAAGCTACATCTATGTACACACACATCATGTTGAAACCTGATCACGCTTTTGCTGCCCTGTGTCACAACTTCTGACTCACCAGGAAAGGGTGTGCCTCTTTTTTTCCTGTATTCTCCACCAGGTTTTGTGTATACAATTCAACCCCATCCCCCCTTTACAATCCCCGTTTTCTCCTTTGGTTTGCTGTCACACTGACCACGCAGTGACCTTGAGTCTCGTAAACACAAGCCTTATTACACCACTCATAATCTCCTTTTCTTGTAGCTACTCCTGCTCTCTTCATTCACAGTACCAACCTGAAAACTAATTCACTTCACATGGGAAGTATATATAGATTTGATCAATTCATAAACATGTTAAATCATATCTGAACATCAACTTTTAATCACTGGATGATAGGTGTCAGATGATATCTGATTGGACCACATAATCAATAACAAGCTGTAAAATTATGCTAGGATGTCACTGACCCACAATGGCCATTTTAACAATTTAATAATCTTACAAAAGTGACTTTATTGTTTTTTGTTTTTTTTTTACGGAAAAAAGCTAGCTATGATGTTTATAAGTCAGGTCCAGTTGACTAAGTTATATAGATGAATGCAGTGCATTTTGAGTAAGAATAAATTTTACATTTAAAAGCCTTGTGAGCTGCCTATCTACATAGACAGCATTTCAGGGCATCATATGTGGATTGCACGCACCTTAATAAAACTATAATGCCCAAAGATTCTGTCTAGGTAGGCAACTCATTAGGTGACACAGTAATTCACTACAGCAAAAACACAAACCAAACGGGTTAATTGAATATCAAAGCATAAACGATTTCAGACAAAAAGGCAAAATTGGAGTCAAAAACACTACGGTTGTGTCCGATTTTGGTTAGCTTAATCATCTCAGCTAATAATATCGTCCTCCAAAACACTACCTTACGAAGTAAAACAAGACGATTTGGATTACAAAACACAAGAATGCTGCATATTGATTAAACAGTTGCACAATTAACTTATAAACCACACCAAAATACGATCATTTAACTTTTCGGCCCGTGTTTTCCGTTCCGTTTAACTAGGCCGCACAGTGAAGCCTCGGACTCTTAATTGTTAGAGCGTCCACTGAAAGAAGCTCAAATGCGGCCATATCAATCCAATGTCGAAACAGAGCAAAAGCAAACAGCGACCTGCTTAAACGCATTTACACAAACAACACATCTATTATGAATGTCATCTACTTGTATATACTCACTCAGTATCGTATATCCCGAATGTTTACGTACTTTAAATGGCTGGCGTTTATTCACACTGCGCGCGATTTGGAAACTCGGTTTCTCTTCTGCATCCCGGCCCGGGTCAGCGGTATTATCTGATGGGAGAGGAGCTTCAGCTCTCTCTATCCTCTCTCCCTTAATCTCCGTGTCTTTCTACGGCCTGGGAAACGGCTTTTGATCTGTGTATGCCCGGGGCTGAAAACTCCCCAAGTCGTTTATCCGATGCAGAGTCTGATAAGCCAAAAATAAAACCCTTAACAAGGCATCATCATCATCATTTTCGGCCCCAGCATCGTTTAAGGACACCGGTATAGGACATGCAGGAAAAATCCGGTAGAGATTCTTGTCTACACAATATATAGCATGCCAAAATAATGAATTGTTCGATTTGTTTGCTCAAAGTAAGTAATTTCATTGAAATAAAAAAAAAAATTGGCATGCAGAATAAGTTATAGTCAAACAGGTTTCGGTTTGGTCAGAAGGACAGATGAAATTGCAATTTAATTTATTTTTAAAAAATACAGAAGCTTTTACTTACGTACATAATAATTAAAATGTGTCCTTTGAATATTAAACACAGCTATAAATATTTTGTAAGAACTTAACATATGTGAAAAGATGGTGTCCCTTTTGAGTAAAGATCTCTGCTAGACTTATATGCTTCTATTTAAGGTCGATGAAACGAATGTCCATGATGAGCAGAGTGTGTCGCGGCAGGGGTCTGGGCGCTGGTGAAAGAACTGTCATCACCTGAGCTTGTGTGTCCACTGCGGTCACAACTATGAAACCACACACGGGACTCTCTAAAATCCCTCTGCTCTGTCCTGCACCCACCTCGGCATCATCATCCACCGAACTCACACTCAGCACATGGTGGGTTAAATCCCTGCCAGGGCTGACTGGCACGAGTTTGAGCTGGGTGTCGTCCTGGGACATACCCAGAGGGAGACAGGAGTCTGGAATTGAGGGTGCACCGATCTTGTAAATACGCACATCTGAAAAGCGCACATCAAAAGCATGAGGGTAAAAGGAAGTTCCACGGAAGCCGTAGAAGTATTCCCGGATCTTTTCGTCCCGTGACTCTCGTCGGCAGTCCTTGGAGCGCTCCACCACACCGCCGGACTTTGGCAGAAGGACGACACGTACAAAGTGTGGCAGGTCACGTTTAAGCTCATTATAGAGACGCTCCTGGTCCAGGACTATAACAACATCCACCTGGAAAGCTGAAGCGCAGTGGACCAGAGCCTGGTAGCCTGAACCTTTGACCCAGCCACAGGTGTTGATTATACAGCCACCCACACTAGCCCTGCGGTTCACCTCACAGCGCTGAGAAAACACTTCTGCAAGGCTGGAAGTCAGCTACACACCCAAAGAGAAAAAAAGAGACTCATTATTACACATTTTATTAATATGTCTGGATGATGCATACTGAACCAACTTAAAGTCAACATGAAACAGCATTCACAACCCATTTTACATCTGTATTCTAACATACACTGTTATTCAAAAGATGTTTCTTAGGCTCAGCAAGGCTGCATAATTATAAAAAAAAAAAACTGAAAGTGAAATATTATTACAAATTAAAATTACTATTAATAAAATATTTATTCATGTGATGGCAAAGCTGAATTTTTAGTAGTCATTACTATGTTTCAGAATCATTCTTATATTATAATTCAGTTCTCAAGAAACATTTATTATTAATATCAATGTTGAAAACATATTTCATAATATTTTAGGGGAAACCATGATACTGTTTTTATTTTCTGGATTCTCTGAATTGAAAGTAAAAAAAAGTAACATGTATTTGAAACTTTTTGCGCAGCAGTGTTAGTCTTTAGTGCCAGTTTTGATCAATTTAATGCATCCTTGCTGAATAAAAGTATTATTTCTTTAAAAAAAAAAATCATACTGACCCCAAATGTTTGAATGGCATTGTATTACAATCTAACAGTATATGACGAAAAAAAATTAGGAAAGCACTATTTTGTCTTTAAGCAGCCCAAAATATTGAAGGTTTGACCACAAAACACAAAAAAGAAATGGTAACATTAAAATAGTTAATAATATTTTATTAAGCAGTATGTAACATAAATACAGTAAGTACATACTATACATTAAAAAAAGACAATAAGATGAACATTTTTTAAATTTAGAATAACATGCACTGATGGACCAAGAACCAGGAACATACATGAAGTAAGCGTAAACACTTTCACTCTAGTAATACCAATACTGTTGCTGTGCAATGATTTTAAAAATGCAAAAGATGATTATTGTCATGTCAACATGCAACTGGTGAGTACTACTTCTTCTTCAGTTACTGCTACAGAAAGTGACTTTATTGTTTTTGTGTTAACAATTGCAGAAGAACAAGACTTTAGAGTTGCATTAAGCGAAAGATTAATGCATCTTCTCCTTGTTATTATTGATTAAACAGTGCCAGGATAGTTTGGAACTTTCTATTTTGTGCCAAGCTCAATCTGTTCTAATAATTTATGGTCCAAAGCTCAGTATATCACTGAAGTGTAAAGACAACACTCCCTTAAGTGCAATTTTGTCATTACCTTGTTGTAAAGTTTGATGTTTGTTCCTGGTGTGGTAGAGCCAAAGTGAAAGACTAGCGGAGCCTGCACAGAGAAACCTTCTTCTACATCAGCAGGACGCTCGATGCACAGAGCTGACATAGTTCCAGGCACAGAGACCTACAGACAAGAACAATTAAACATGCATATAACACTTCAAGTCTCACAAGCCTGTAATGTTTAGCAGACGATGCATTGATCATCCAAGCATAATTTACTTACGCTGCTCTGGCCGACATCCAGTTCTACCAGCGTAGGCCTTCGTCCCAGTCGCACAGCATAGTTCAGCAACACTCGACAAACTGTAGTCTTTCCCACATCAGTTGGTCCGACAACCATTACCTACGACAACAAAACATGTTTAATTTGTTATATTAAATATACATTACTATTCAAAAGTTCATAAGGAGTTGGTAAGATATTTTTAATGTTTAATTAATTATCTTATGCTCACCATGGCTGCATTTATATTATATTAATATTGTGAAATATTATCACAATTTAAAATAAGTTTTCTCTCTTAAAATGTAATTTATTCCTGTGATGGCAAAGCTGAATTTTTACAAGCCATTACTCCAGTCTTCAGTGTCACATCCTTGAGAAATCATCCTAATATGCCGATTTGTTGGAGTGTTTTTATAGCAATGTTCAAAACAGTTGTGCTTAATATTTTTGTGGAAAGTGTGATTTTTTTTCAGGATTCTTTGATGAATACAAAGTTTAAAAGAACAGCATTCATTTGAAATAGTAATCTTTTATAACATTATAAATGTCTTTTTACTGTCATTTTTTATCCATTTAATGCATACTTGCTATTGCTAAGTAAAAGTATTTTTTTCTTACCAACCCCAAATTTTAGAAACAAATTGTTTGGGAAGTTTGTTTACATACCCGAGGGCCTCTCTCGTTGTCTTTCCCTGCCTGACGTCTCATCTGCTCCAGAGCTGCATGGGTGTTGAGATACAGCAGCATGGGTGTATCTTTGGAGATATAAGCCACCTATATTTATGGAAAAAAGACATGTTTGAATTGATTTAGCATTCCATGTCATTATGTACATCCACTGACATTGTTAACCTCTCACCTCCGTCTTGCCTGACAGCGACACACTGCAGCCTTGCCAGGTGAACACAGCAATCTTAGAGCCTGGTCCAAAAGTGTACTTCTTATTTCGGTTCAGTTCGGATCCGAACACCTCTGCCAGACCGGACAACAGCTCGAGCTGGACTCGTTCTCCTGCTTCGACCTCAAAGCGCAGTTCTGTCTCTTTCTCCAGGTCAAATCGCGTACCTGAAGTGCCAGCGCTGCCCGACGAACTCATGCCCTCCTCCGCTGACTTTTCTGAGGCTTCTGCAGTCATGGCTGTGATAGATAGAGAACTAGGATGTTCAAAAACTGCTATATAGCTAGGTACTTGTATTCTTAAAGATGAAAAAATAACAAATTATTGTGCTATACCTGTTTGAATTCGTCCCCTTTGTGATTTACCTCGGCAAATAACTGTTACCGTGTTTTATTTAGATTATGTCAAATAAGTTCAGATAGTACTAGCTTGTTAACGTTAGCCTGTTGAATATAATTACATTGATGGAGGTCGGGCTTTGCAAATAATATTATTAAATATACCGTAACATGCCTAGAAGACTCTTTCAGACATCCACTGTTTCAACTATCTTCTTCTTTGGGTTTTAACGGCAGCTTGCATCCTTAACGTTGCATTACTGCCATCTTCTGGTTCTAGTTATTTCCTATATACTGTAGTCATCATATTCTTGTCATGAGTCCCGTTTTAGTCAGAAAGCAAATCAAATATTTCATTCCTTGCTCACTCCTACTGCAGTCCATTATATTCTTTACTCCACGTCCTGTTAGTCCTATTTTTTCCATGTAATTTATCATATCCATCCTCTGTAATTCATATTTTGAACAATTAATAAGCACATGTTCTACAGTCTCAGGTATTTGGCACTGGTCACAAAACCCAGTTGGATGTTTTCCCATAATATGAAGAGTGCTATTTAATTTATTATGCCCTATTCTTACTCTGGTCATAATAGTCTCTTCTCTCCTGTTTCCTCCCTTATTTTCCACAGTGCCAACTCTTTTTTTAATCAAGTATAAATGTCTTCCTTTTAGTTCTTGATCCCACCTTTGTTGCCATTCTTTAATAATTTTTCCCCACACTATACTCTTTCCTTCTGATCTTGAAAGGCTGATGACTGCTTCTATGCTCTTTTTGCAGTGCTTTCTTAGCTATTTTGTCTACCTTTTCATTTCCTATAATGCCCATATGTGCGGGGACCCTGTTTCAACTATGCCTTGTTATTTGGAAATTATCCCTCCTTTCTTCACAGCAGCTAGGAGCTCTGTTAAACCACAGTGATGATGTCGTGTCGCGTGTAGATGATGTCATGCAGTGGTTGACCAATGGCCAAGATCCTCACAACATGTGTTTTAAGGTTTTAACTCTGAAGTTGTATCTGTGAATTTTTGATCTATATGACTACGTTTACTAAATGTAATATACACAAATAATCTAAAAATCTGGGATGTGTTGTGCTGACACTTTTATTACTTGAGTTTTCCTCCGTTTGTATTCATTTTTTTTGTTTGTTTGCAACCCTGTTCCTCCTTGTAGCCTACAACAGTACCCGTGGCTCATATGAACTTTTTTTAATTGTTTTTATTTTTTTATTGTGGATTTTTTTATTTATTCAGATGTGTGCAGCACATTTTATGGAGGATGAGGACTGTTTCCTGAACCAGTATCCTACAATGCGTCTGTGGCACAAAGGCTGTTTCTATAACGTGGGGCAGTTCCCAACTTTGCAAGGACAGTCTGGCGCTTCTGACTCACAGCCTGTAAGTAAGTTTTTTATATTTAAATAATTTGCCACCGATGATTCAAACGCGAGTTTTGAGCAGTGTAGAGTGGGCTTGTTTGTCTTTCTCCGATCACAAATGCAGACATGGTTTTATATTTACGCAGCGCGATACGCAACGCGTAAAAAGACAGTATAAGTCATTATAATCAGTAATTATGTCCCCACTGGATGCAACAAATGCCTCATTTATAATGGGTTTTAATGTTTATGTTTCGTCGCTCTGGCCGGGACAAGGCATCACAGTATGGTAAGGGCAGTAACATTTCCGTCACACGCTTGAAGTATTCGGCCAATCACAACGCACTGGATAGCTGGCCAATCAGAGCACACCTCGCTTTTTTTTTTTAGAACGATGAGCTTTGTAAAAATCGACATAAAAACAGCATAAACACATTTCATTACACCAAATACACAAAATAATGTTCTTTTTAGCAACATCATATGACCCCTTTAAGTGGAACTACAATATCAGTTTTTTATTTATTTATCATCTGATACTGGCAGTAGGGTGAAAGATGGGATTCTAGGTGTGCACAATAATTTCTACTGCGTATGATAAAAAGCAAGTTAGAATCAATATAATTTTTTAACATGCACACCATGTTCTCTTGACAAGTCAACATGTGTGTTACAATTGTAATTCTTATTAATTTTGCTGTAGCATATCATAGTACATGTTTACAGTGAATAATATGCTGTTTAAAATTAAAGTGTTGCATTTAACTAGTGTCTTCTCTCACTATTTGCAACATTGTGTTGGAGTGAATGAACATGTAGGCTATGTGATGGTGCACTGAAAAAGAAATTTAAGGAATTAGGTCTTCTATATAGAATATTTTCTATTTCTATCTTGTTACTTACTGGCTGATATTCATCAGAAATATGGAGAACTGTCAACCTCAATTTCACACATTTTAGAATTAAAATAGCAAACTATAAAAAAATAAACCTTAAAATTAAATCAAAACAGGAAAAACAAGAAAGTCAGGAAGACTGTAGAAGATCTGTTAAATGTGTTCCAGTATGTCGGTTAATTTAATTTATTATATTGAATTTGTATTTATATTCTATGCTTTGTCTTTTGTAAAGACTCCATCTGCGCTCCATTACGACGTGCCAGAGAACCAGCGCACGTTCTACAGTAACAATATTTACACCCGCGTTTCTCCCAAATGACAATATTAGTAATTTTTTTTGTAATTTATTTGTAATTATTTTTTTCACTTATTCACTTTCCTACTTTTCTTCAGTTTATAGTTATTTTATCTGAAATTATATATAGCCTACATATTCATTTACGTTAATTCGGGATTTGCTGGTACGAAATCACACACTACACCGTATTTAAATTAATTAAAATGTCTGGAGTTTTGAAGTTTGATAGGCCTATTTGACTGTGAACTGTAGCCAAAGATGATCGTTTCTCAGACTATTAGAGGGGCGTTAATGACCTCTGGTGGTGATCTGATGTAACTGTTAAAACATAAAACATTACATTTAGAGTTTGTTAAATAGGCTAGGGAAAACGGATGCTTAAAATGTATCTTTTAAGTTAGGAGCACAAGTGTTCTTAAAAAGAAAAGTAAGCGCAGAGCCCTGATGCACAATAATGATAAGAACAAAATATGCTAGTGCAGGAGTATTCAAACTGGAGTCCGTGACCCAAAGTCAAGGGGTCCGCAAAATAATTTTCTATACCGTATTTTCCGGACTACAAGACATGTTTTTTTTAATCTTCTAAGACGTGCTGAATTATTCCAAATTGTCTATAATATATAGTCTAATATATATATTATAGTATAATATATATAGTGATATAACGCATTTAATGTCAAAAAGCCTAAGCAAAACATAAACAATTAAAAGCGGGTACTTCCCACTCAGGACTAAATTAGACGGACCAAACAAAGCTCAGTTTTCAACGTCTATTGTGGACTAAATTTGGACCAAATCAGATGGACCAAAAAAAAAACAATTTTCAACGTCGCTTTTTGGGCTAAAAGAAGTCCATGACGGGCCGACTTGATTTAGCCCAAAAAACGACGTCCAAATGACGTCTGGTGCTGGGTGGGTTAAAGGTTTCAATAAATATATTTCTCATGTCTGTGTGACAAGTAGACAGTACCGCTGTGTTTTTCTACGTTTGAGGAAGAGGTTCATGGAAACCGAGACTGCAAGCGCATTTTGTTTGTTTTCTTTATTTTACAAAAAGTATGACGTTTCACTGTTATTTTGAAGGTACACAAATAAAAATAGACCATTTTGAATGATATCTTATCTTAAGGACAAGAGTAAAGCTGATATAATCCAATATGTAGGTTGTGTTGTTCAGCGTAAGCATCTCCATGCCTGTTTTTTCCAAACCCATTTTTTTGCATATGTGAAGGATGCTGTTTTAAGTAGATATTCAGAAACGAGAGAAGTATAAAACCTTCTTTACATAATAAACAATAGTTTAGCAACCAAATGTTACACTGCATCTAACGAGTCACTCATGGAAATAATCCATGCCGAATGAGAGATGCATGAACCCACCACAAGGTTCAGTTTGTTTCATTTTAAATAAGTTTGTTATAGGCTTAATTTAAAATAAATATTGCTTGTAAGGAATGGCACTATAATTTATGCTTTTTTATAATGTATTATATATATATATATATATATATATATACACATTAAAAAGATGTAAAAAAACAAAAAACCTTAAAGTTAAATACATATGTGACACTTATATTTGAATCATGTTCTGACTTTTTCACAGCAAAAGCTGATGGGTCTATGGGCGGGGCGCTTCGCACCCTGAACTTCGTGTGGTGCTCAATCCTCAGAAACCTCGGAGGAACAGCTTTGAGATCACTCTGATGGAGGGAGACAAAAGTTAGACTGTCACGGAAAGAAGCCCAACCAGTATTCAGATGCCTGCATCACTGAGTAACAAGAGTAAATTTCACGGTTGTCCAAAAAATTATTTACATATGCTGCCTCTGTATTTCTTTCTCCTGTGCAGAGGTTGTTTTGTGGTCTGGCATTAAGAAGGGTCCTCCACGCAAACTACAGTTTCCTGATCCCGCTGAAGTGGTTTCTGCTCTGAAGGAAGCGTTGAAGAGCTAGTAGAGGTTATAAGGAGACAGGTGAGTCTGTTGCTCCTTAACTTGTCTTTAAAGGGGTCATATCCAAGAGCTTGTAACACTCCAAAGAGAAAGGAAAAATTGAAATCGCATCATATGACCCCTTTAACAAATAATAGTAAAATTTATTTTCCTAATTTATTTTCTCCATCTAGTCAGTCATCTTTGTTCCTAGACACTGGATGCATAATGATGTAAATGGACTAATGGGAAAATCTCCCTGTCTGTTTTCTGATGATCGGCTCTGTTGTTCCAGACTGGATAATTGACCTCGCCTTGTTTCTTCTGTTAAAGGGGTCATATTTTTCCTTTCTCTTTGAAGTATTACAAGCTCTTGGTGCATAAAGAAGATCTGTAAAGTTGCAAAGACTAAAGTCTCAAATCCAAAGAGATATTCTTTATAAAAGTTAAGAGTCAGCCACACCTACCTAAAACGGCTCGTTCTAACACGCCCTCAAGTATCTACGTCGCTCTGTGGGAAGATTTGCATAACACCGCCCAAATGTTCACGCAAAGAAAGAAGGCGTAACTTTTATTCTCACTGTAGTATTGTTGTTTCCGCTGCCATGTCGTAGACGCTGTATGCTTCGTTGTAAAAGCAAAACTACTTTGTTTGGCCTTCCAAAAGAGGACGATATCTGCTTCGTCATGCCTAGAGCTGATCCGTGCTGGTTGCTGAGGAAATACTACAACTTTGCGCTGTCGATCGCCGGATCGGCTTTCACCGTGGACGAAGCGGAGTCCAGCCCGGAGTCGTCACATGTCCTTCCAGACGCTCCTTCATCGAAATCACCGGCCGTGCCGTTCTCAAGCCCGCGCCTCTGCTTACTCTAACCCTCCCCCCGTTCCTCACTTTATCCCCCGGCCTCAGCTCACTGTAGGCCGCGGTGTGTGGCGCTGTTTCATTGTGAAAGCGAAACTACTTTGTTTGGCCTTCCAAAAATGGACACGACTAGAAATCAGTGGTTAAATTGTATTTTTTTTAACCTTAAACCGCATAAACACATTTCATTATACCAAATACACAAAATACTGTTCTTTTTAGCAACATCATATGAACCCTTTAAACTCTCAAAGTCTTGTTCATGTTCTTTTCTGACATGATTATTTTTACATTGCTAGTTCCTGTCTCTGTACTCACTGTTAATGTTTGGTCAATCACTTTTTTTTACTGTTTGTGCATTATTATAATGCTAATTCTTAGTCAAATATAAAGTCTAGAGTATAGTTAAATGATGTGGCTAAAGTTGATCAATTTGGACAGATTTGTGGTCTGTCTGCCTCTCTCTCTCTCTCTCTCTATAAAATCACCACTGCCTTTTGTAATTTTACTTTCGAGGCATGCATTTCCCTTTTGCACTGATTTCTCAAAATGATGTTTTTGCTAAGCTAGTCATAAAATCAAAGTACAGAAACAGGTCAGTATTGTACCCTGGTGTGACTAAAGGCTTATTAGCACGTAAATTAAGACTTCAATATTAAGATAAGCCTAAAACAAGATTTTCCAAATTCACCATTTTGCCTTGTCTAATGTTGAGCTACTTCTTTTGCCCAGTATGTTGTGGTTTCCTTTTATTTGGGATATTTCTTAATATCTAATATTCAATTTTATAGGCTGTAACCAATACAATCCCTTTGTCAGCATTATGATTTCCTAAACATGTGCTTTAAAGAGGCATGTACAACAAAAACTTAACACCTCAGTACAGTTTAAAGAAAGCTTTATTGTCAAAGCAAGATGTTGTCTGCTGCAAGCAGTAAGTGCCGTGAGTTAAGACTTAATCGACTGATAGCATTATGGTTCCAAAAGCTTTTCTCTGAATAGAGCTGGAATAAAACTGCCTTATATCAAGCCAAAAATCCATATTCTTTAACCAAAGGTGGTGCTGTTCCAAGCCACATTGGCTGCATCCATATCAACAAAGTTTATATAGATCCTGAAAAACAATACAAGGTTTTACTAAGAGTAACTGCATTTGACACACACACACACACACCCACACACCACACACACACACACACACACACACACACACACACACAAACATAATATGAAAAGTATATCTTATTTAGTATGTATGCATGCATATGCATATTAACAACTGAAATTCATTTGAAATTTGCAAGTTGAAACTTAATGTGTGCAAAATATTCTGGTAAATGCAAAATAATGTAGCCAGCTGTAATGTATGGATTTACCTGTCAGGTGAAATTCCAAGGTGTTTGTTAAGAAGGCCCATAAGTAGTTTGGAGTACTGCTTATTTTGCGTGCCCCCAATCTTGCCGATGCTGGTGAGAGAGCAGAGCGCGCACGGATCTCCTTTGCCCCCAAACATCATCATCTGATCCGGGATGATGTGTATGGCGATGTACTGTCACAGCAATACAAAGAGACACACACAAGGGTAAATAGTTAATGATACAGTTCCTCTAAACTCTTTTTTTCAAAAACAGATCTGAAAGATTTATTCACAAATCTGACAGAGTCATTCCAAGCGCTTCTCGAGTCAACTGACAGACCCAATTTTCACAATAAAAATAATTTCAGTATGGTGTAATGTAAATGCAAATTTGGTTTATTATAGGGTTCCTCAAATCTTGACCTGGAGGGCCAATCCTCTGCAGAGTTTAGCTCCAACACTGATCAAACTCACCTACCTGTGATTTTCTAATGATCCTGAAGACATTAATTAGCATGCTCAGGTGTTTGATTAGGGTTAGAGCTAAACTCTGCTGGAAAGTGGATCTCGTAGGCCAGATTTGAGAATCCCTGCTTTATTACAAGCTTCCAAATGTCTTTGTTTTTTATGAATCAATACGGCTCCAAAACACTGAACTGAAATACACATTAATGTAATATTTTAATACTTAATAAAATGCAAAAGGTGGATGGATGGATTTTTTTGGAACGTTTTAGACTCGAGTATAATGTGTCACACGTGGGATCTGGGATAACGCGGTCACGTAATTGCGTCATGACGTAAAAGAATCACTTAATCGTTTTTTTAAACTGGTTCTTTGAAGCGATTTGTTGAAAAGCATGATTCACGGAAATTAGTCTGACTGATGATTTGACTAATGATGATTTATATATTCTGCCTAGATCTCTTTAAGTTTAAGACAATGAAAAATCCAGACATAAGCTACAGCTAAAAGGATAACTGTAGATTAAGTCTCTTGTATCGAGATGAATAACTTACAGTTACAGTTCCATGTTCTATGCAGACTAATATAAAAAGTCATACGATTTGTAGGAAATGTGAGAAATGCAGTGTGCTCACCTGCGCGGGTTTGCCCATCGCTTTGGCAAGCTCCTGCGTGGCCTCCGAGAGCAGCTCAGCAGGAACCGCGTCCTTTGCAACATTTGTGTTCACCACGAACATCGGCATGACTGCAACGAAGAGACAGCTCTTACTTTAAAATAGTGCACGGTGGAAGGATCAGACACAGTCGGGGATGTATCCAGATGTGAGCCCGGGTTGAATAAGGTAAGTAACCGCGATGCTAGTACGTCTTCTTCTTTTAAATTTAATGGCGGTTGGCAAACCGTAATCTGTGTTAGTACTCCCCCACAATGTGCTGTGTGCATTAAAATCACCACACCACACCACTTTATGACTTCCATTTCCTCCAATATTTTCTAGCTTATCCTTGCATAATCTATCACATGGATTGTAAACGTTAATTATTCTAATACTCTGTACTTCTTCCCATATTTCAACCACTACAACCTCTTGCTCCCCATTTACCTCAACTGTTCTATACCCAATATCTTGTTTAATAAATGTTGCTACCCCACCACCATTTCCTTTACATCTATCTCTTCTGACTGTAATGTATCCATGAATTAAAAAATTTAACTGCGGTTTAAGCCATGTTTCTTGAACACATATAATGTCAGGACTATTTTCTTGATTTGTTATCATTTTTTTTAATTCTTGTCCATTGGCAATTAAACTTCTTGCATTCCATTGCAATATTGTTATCACCATTATGTACCACCACATGTTTGGCTGTTTTCTGTCTGACTGTTTACTGTTTGCATCTTAAGCCTTTCGTTTATCATATCTACTGTAACATCCTCTAACTCCAAATACTTTTCAGCAGCTCTGATAATGATTTTAATTCTCTCGGTCCTGCTTTCAGTTTGAGCAGAGCAATTCACCACTTCTGCTATGAATGCTACGAATGACACTTTATCAACAATCATTTCTCTCTCTTTACTTTGCCCTTTCAACATTGTTTTTTGTTGTGGTGCTGTTGTCTTAGTTTCAATTATTTTGGGTGCTTGTTTTACTTTCTTTAGAGCCTCAGCGTATGATATTCCTTCAGCCACTCTGACATTTTGAACTTTCACTGCATTTTTCCTTACTAGACATCCTCCGTATCCTGCACTGTGCTCTCCTCCACAATTACAGCACTTAGGATTTACACCTTGCCCACACTTGCCATATTCATGCTCACCTCCACACCGCGCACATCTCTGTTTGCCTCTGCACACTGCCGCTACGTGACCGAATTTTTGGCATTTGTAACATCTTAGCGGCGGGGGAACGTATGGCCTGACACTGTAGCTCACAAAACCTAAATATACTCTCTCAGGTAATTTGTTCTCATCAAAATTTAACACTACTGACAGGCTATCAGTCTTTTCATTATTTCTGACGCATTTGAGCCGTCTGACATCATTTACTGCTGCCCCTGTTATATTTCTTTTAATTTTCTCAACTGAAACATCAGTTGGGATCCCTGTTATCACACCTCTAACCCAATTCTTCTCTTCTGGGATTGAGCATACAACTTTATGTCCGATCAGTGATTTTATTCCCAGGGCCGTTTTTTGTTGTCTACTGTCTTTGCAGAACAACATCAATTTGCCATCTCTCAATGTCTTGATACTTTCAATCGTCCCTAAAACTTCTTTAAGTGTTTTTGTTAGTTTCAAAGGGTTAATAACATTAACAGACTCATTAGCAAACTTCAGCAATACCTTATATTCCTCTTTCCTCCTTCTTGCCTGGTGATTTCCCTTTTCACTGTCCGTTTCAGAGATTTGTCCCCAACGTTTCTTTCTTTTTCGAGTTTCTACCACTTTCCATTCATTACTTGCATTGCCTCCACTATCCGCATCCGCATCCTCCATTTCCGGATCGCTTCCGGAATCTACACCACTTCCTACCATCAGCGCTCCATTCACAATCCAGCTGTCGCCAACCGCAAAACAGCTACCACATGCACCTCAGTCAGCGGATCAAGCCGTCCATGGCATCTATCTGTCAAGACGCCAGTACTTCTTCTAGGCTACCGTAAAACACCATATGACCCAAATAAAGATTTGACAGTGCAGACCCGTTAGCATACCACAGTTGCTCGGCTGGCGCATGCGGCCCTAGAAGTGCATGATGCAGAAGCATGGCACAACCAAAGACAGTTACAGAGCCCTAAATTACATGTGACTAATTACTATCACACAATTGTTTTGAATGATTGATTATATATTCATTTTTTTGTATTCATTTTTAAATAAACAGTATTTCAATAAACCGTATTATGCAATTAAGTACGATATTATACAACAATATAAATAACAACCTAGATAAAAAAAAAACTAAAGTTCTACTAAAATACTGTAGAAATAAGTAATTTCTACAGTAAATAATTTTAAGAAATGCCAGTGGAATGAAAAACACAGCAGACATTTCACATTGTTAAGAGCCCCCATGAAAAACTGCTGAAACATTTACATCATCATCAACATTATTATTATTATTATTAACTTATATTACAATAGACACCAAGTACTTCACATTGAAAATACCATAATTAATATAACGAGATTAAAATGAAACCTACTTTATAATTATAACAAAAGAGAAAATAAAAAAGTAAAGTAAAAATACAGTTATAATAAAAGACAACATAAAAATTCAGAAAAATAATTTGCTAGCTGCAGTAAAAATATACGTTTTGGGGTTTCTTTAAAAAATAGCAAGCTGGCTTCAATCTCTTGGTAATGTTTTCCATAGATTTTGGACATAATTGACAAAGGCAGCATCTTGATAACATAACAGAATATTTATTTTCTTGCAAAACATTAGTATTCTTCAAAATTCTGTTAAATAACTGTCAGTGAGGTTAATGCATTTTGCCTCTAATAGTGCACAGCATCTACCAACAAAAGGTAAATTTTCAACAGGTTATTCTGTTTTATTTTGTATGGATAATTATTCAATGATAATAATAAATTATTATTATTATTATTATTATTATTATTATTTTAAAAATATCTACCAGCAGGGTAGCCAAAGCTAGCTAGCCAAACCTTTTGTAGGTCCTCTTTTACGGTAATTACAGTAGCTGTGCGCATGCGCAGAAAGCGACATCCGGAAATAATATTGTAGGCGAGAATTAAAATCTCTTGAGTTGAGAGGGGTGGTCGCGACTCGGTGAAACGGTGCCGCTAATAGCGCATAAACACTCGTAAAACATGAACACGAATCTTTTTTTAGCCGTCGACTATATTTGTGCAGTCATCTGGAGTGAAATTTCATCTTTTAAGGGTTTGATTTGTGTGGTCGCGAGCACATAGAGGAACAGGGTTCATTCCATTGGCTTTGTACAAAGTTGGGTTACTTCGGGTGACAGCCGTTGCCATAGTTGATGTCAGGTTATTATAACCATATGCGCAATTAAATGAAGTGTTGCTATTGCAAAGCGGATGCGTAAAACCATGAATTGTGACTGGTGTTGATATTTGGCGTAACATAGTTTTATTGGACACAACTTTATTTATTATTTGTGCGACTGAAAACTAGTGAAACCATGGCGGAATCGGTCAAGACCTTTCAAGCGCACCTGACTGCTGTCATGGACAGTTTGGTCCGCGCATCAGTGTGCGAGATCACCAAACTCTTCCAGGACACGGTGAACGACTACCTGGTGGAAATCTCGCTGAACAGAAAAGAGAACGAAGCGTTGAAATTGAGACTGAGGCTGACTGAGAATAAACTGAGAAACGAGCGCAAATATGGCATGGGCTGGGCGGCCAGTCGGCGCGCGGCTGGTCTGCTTAGCGCGGACGACACGGTGCGCAAAGCGCGCAGAACAGATCTCCAAAGTAAGCGCGCTCGCCAACTCGCATTTCATGCTGTTGTTTTATCGTGCATTTTTCCTGCCTTTGAGTGGGAAACCATAATGGCGACCAGCTCCTCAGTTCTCATGTTTCTTTCTCCTTCCTCTCCTCCTCTTTTGCATTCCTCCCTCCCCCTCCTGTTCTCCTCTCTCCTCTTTCCCCCTCCCATCTTTCTCTCTCAGGAGGCAAGCAGGGGAAGGAGTGGAGTGCTGATGCGTGGGAGGAGGGGACTGGAGGAGTGAGGGATGAGAGGAGGGACGTGTTCTGTGTCCATCTGCCAACTGGAGGAGGTGTAGGTGGGGAGGAGGAAAGGATATGTGTCTCTGGGGAGAGGAAGGAGGTGGCCAGCATTAAAGAGGAGGTGAGTAGCCAATCGAATGTGAGGAAACAGCTGCAGGGAGCGGAGGGGAGAGAGGAGATGCAGAAGGCTACGGACAGGAGAAGGACCTGAAAAGAAAAATCCCTTTGTGCAAACTGATTTGAAAGTATATTTTGGTCGATTTTGCTAGTGCAAAAACTGCACCAAAGATTATAAACCAAGAATTATAGTAACTACAATTCACTTTTTCCATTGTCTTTCCCTCTAATATTGACATTGTTATATTTAAAGGGATTGTTCACCCAAAATTAAAAAAAGTTGTTCCAAACCTGTGCAAATTTCTTTTTCTTCTGCTGAACACTGAAGAAAATGATTTGAAGAATGTGGGTAACCAAACATTTGATGGTAAAAAAATACAATGGAAGTCAATGGCTACCATCAACTGTTTTATTACCTACTTTCTTCAAAATATCTTAAACAACAACTAGAGGGTGAATAATTGATGACAGGCGAATAGATTTTTATTTTGGGGTGAACTATACCTTTAAGAGGTCATATTTCCAAAAATATGCATGTCCTTGTTGAATTTTAACACTTTAAGACTATATTTACATCTGTATGGTGATCAGATCACAAGTGGACAGTGTTAATTACCAGTGTAAACAAGGTCAATGCATTTTATCATTTAGTTGCTCAAATCACTAGTCAGAAACTCATATGATCGTAGGACCCTACCTACTTACCTGTCAATCAAAATAAATCCCCTTTATTGCACTAAAACAAGTTTAAATGTTATAAAAACAGCACATATGTAACAAGGTTACTATCACCTCATGTCTGCCTAAAATGTTTATTATCTGTTTTAAAATAAATATTTTAATGTTTGCAAAGAGAATTTATTTCACACCTTATGTTCTCGTTCTTTCTGCTTCTGTGGGATGATGGATAAAGGTGGAAGGCTACAGATCAGACTCCCTGAGGCTGTTGCAAGAGGCTCTACAGATGAACCAAACTGAAACCAGCCCTCCCTCCCCCAGTCCCACCCACGGTGAGCACTGCAGTGCTTTGTTCAGGAAAACAGCTAATAATTTCTTTGTGATTGTGAGCATGAACAGTTAAAGGAATAGTTAACTTAAAGAACACAATTCTGTCATTAGGTCCTCAACTTTGTGTTGTTTTTTCAGTGAAACACAAGGAGAAATTTTGAATACTGTGCTCAGTTTTTCATACATTAACAGTACATTGGACCCACGACTGTCAAGTTCCAAAAAAGGTGACTAGTTTTACATTAAAGGAATAGTTCACACAAAAATGAAAACTCTGTTATCATTTACTCACCTTCACATCGTTCCAAACCTGTATGACTTCATTTTCTTCTGTGGAACATGAAAGAAGATATTGTGAAGAATGTTGCTAACCAAACAGTTTTGAATCCCATTAACTTCCATTTTATTTTTTGTCCATACAATAGAAGTCAGTGGGAACTGAAACCGTTTGCTTACTAACATTATTAAAAATGTCTTCTAAGTTCTGCAGAAAAATAAAGTAACCGGTTTGGAAGTGTTGATGAATTAAGTTTTTGTTTTGCACACAAAGCCATTGTATTGTTACTTTTCTTGTCTGTTTTTGGGCGCTTGACAGCTGTGGCCACTATGAACTGCTAATGTAAAAGAAAAGTGTGTAAATTCAGCTTTGCCATCACACCAATAAATTGTATTTGAAAATACTTCCAAGTAGAAAACTGTAGTAATAATATTTCACAATATTAATGTTTTTACTGTATTTTTGAACAAATAAATGCAGCCTTGGTGAACATAAGAGACTCCTTTGAAAAGCATTTCTAGCATTTTAATTTTGAGGTAAAATTTTGTTCTTATGTCTGATATATCTAATTTCTGTCTGCAGGAGAAATGGGCCCTGCTTCTGCTGGTCCTGAATCCGCTGCTGCTGAAGTGTGGGAGGAGCAGCCAGCCTTGTCAGAGGAACCAATGCCCGGTGGAGACGAGCTCAGCGGACTTGAGACGGCCCTCAAGGCGGAGCGTGAACGTGAGGAGGCGGAGTCCGGCCTGGGCAGCCCGTCTCAGGAGACGTGTGGATCTGAAGGTGTGGCGTTCATCGGACTAGACGGTTTATGTAGCTCTCAGCAGGCAATGTCGTCCTCATCACATAGAGCAGACCCTGCTGAACTACAACTCCTATCAGCCCCTACCAACAAGGAAGAGGAGTCAGGAGGAGAGAGCGGGGACATGCTGCACTTCTGCGCACGCTGCGGCAGCGGCTTCAGTTCCACATCTGACCTCATGAAACACTCCTGCCCTGCGGCCGAGGAGCGGCCCTATCAGTGCTCTGTGTGCGGGAGAGCATTCGGCCACGCCTGGAGCCTTAAGAGCCACGAATGCATCCAGGCGTGTGAGCAGCTGCACCACTGCGAACTCTGCAGCAAACGCTTCACGCACTCGCGTTCCCTCGAGCGCCATCAGCTGGTTCACACAGGTGAGCGGCCCCACAGGTGCCCGCAGTGCGGCCGCAGCTTCAGTCGTCTCGGGAACCTGGAGAGGCATCAGCGCATCCACACTGGTGAAAGACCATATGAGTGCGGGACGTGTGGGAAACGTTTCAGTCGAGTGGAATACCTAAAACGGCATCAGCACACCCACATTAGCGATATAATGGTGAAACTCCCACCGCTGCGAAACTCTCACCACTGCTCTCAGTGCAACCAAACATTCAGTGATACTGAGCAGTTCAAGAAGCATCAATGTCCGTACAACACATAATGTTATTCAGTGTTCATGAGAATCTACTAGACCAGTGAATCTCAAACTTTTGGCGTACCGGACCCCAGTCCAATTCAGATCAATCCTCAAGGACCCCCAGAACAAAATTTACTCATCTATGTATCATTTGTGTCTTTGTGAGGACCAAATGCAGTCAAGTATAATTCAAGTTAGCTGACTTGTCCAGTATTTGGCCATATCATCAGCTATATTGGATTTTTCTTTCATGGGAACATGTCATGTCAAAATATACAAAATTTATACAAAAATTCATACTTTATATGGACCCCCTGGCCTTACGTCAAGGACCACTAGGGGTCCACGGACCCCTGGTTGAGAAACACTGTACTAGACCTTAACTAGAAAACCACAGCACTCAAAAGACCTCATTCTTCATAATTCTTTTAACTTGTTGTATCCTCTATTAACATCTTACCACATGCTTCTGCCTTTAATGACCCCAAAATCACTGACTTGCACCCAGAACTTCAAAGCACAGCACATTTACACGTAGTGCAATTATATTTTAAAGTGAAATTTCGTATTTATTATTATTTAGAAACTGTCTACTCATTATTCACAGTGAATATCTCTCTCTCTCTCTCTGAGAGAGAGAGAGAGAGAGAGAGAGAGAGCGAGAGATCAACATATTGATCACCTCTGTTTCAATTCCAACAGTCTATCAATGCAGATAACTCTATTTTTGTTATGTCAGGCTCCTTATAACAGGCTGTGAAATATTTTTTGTGAACAAAGACATTTACAGAAGCTTGTTGTTTCTTATTAATAACAAATAGAATGCTTATTTATGCATTCTTATGAATCTTTTTCCTCTCATAGGACCCATGTGTTGTTTTCACTCCTTTTTTACTCAACACAGAAGTGAAATATTTGTTGTGATGAGAATTGCTTTTTTGTCATGTTGTATTCTATTTACTCAATGATTTCATACTGTATTGAACAATATGTAACATTGTTAATAAATCCCTTCCATATGCATATTGTTATAGCTTGTCTTTATACCTTGTATGTTTATTTGTTTGTTTACGATAAACTGAAGTTTAAAATTGCATTCATAATATCATAATTTGGACTTAATGCTGTTCTAAACAAAACTGTACAGACTACAGAGCAAGTAAAAATCTATGCTGTCATGCAGAGATAATGGAATATATGCAATAAATATGAATAAATGAAATAAAATACAGATGAAAGGCGTTTGTAAATGCTTATTGATATTTTATGTCAGTGGATTTTATGTTGTTAAAGAATTAGCTCTACCAGTACGCTCTAAAAACTCAGTATTGACGTCGATTCTGCTCGCACTGATTCAAAAAAAAGAAGTGAACAAATTGCAGAGCTGCTCGCGATGCTTTTTAGGAAACGCAGCCCCAAACCTGTTGCGCAACGGTTGAACCGATTAATTGAAATGATACAAAAATGACAACAAAATAAATAAAAAGAATCAAACAAACAAACGGATGAAAAAAAACAGCTAAAGCCTGTTTTAGCTGGTTTTATCTGGTCTCCCAGCCTGGCCAGCTAAGACCAGCCTGACCAGCCAAGGAAGTGGCCAAAACCCCTCTAAAACCAGCCTGCTGACCAGCCTAAACCAGGCTGGATGACCAACTAAAACCGGGGGGGGTTTCAGCAGGGAAATGGACCAATCTAGTACAAAAAGTGTTGTGTTCTCATAGCTTTCTTTGAATCTTTTACCGAGGTCATATATTCAAGTAATTTTACATTTCTTTTAAGTTTGAAAATTAGCATTTGTGAATGTAAAATTATCTTAGGAATATAATTAAATGTGTAATAAAACATTTATTTTGTGGGAGCTAAAGGGTTAATACATGATCCATGACGTCAGACTACAGAAGACGTCGCTGTGGTAGTGTGGGACCTCTTCTGCCGGTATAATTTCACATTGCAAAGGTTTGGATGTAATTTATACAATTTATTTTTATTTTGTGGATTTATATGTGTATACCTTAAAGCGAAGGACACGAACTGTGCTTCAGCTGGGAGTGTAATGGGCAGTGTATTGGTTTGTTTACCTCATCAGCTGTGTGGCAGCTAACGGCAGCTAAACTGAGTAACGTTAGCAGCTGTTGAACGATAAGATATTAAACTATTTTGCGCTTTATTCTGCGTACTTTGACTTAGGCCATCTACAAAAGTACGTAATACTGTCATATTACATAAGATATACAACCACAGTGCACTGTAACAGTTACAATGCGCATGCTATTTAGTCAAATATGTAGCGCCCAGCATTGCAGCACCAATGAAGAAGACACTCCACATTATGAATGAAAGCCTCTTTGCAAACTCCGGGTCTGTGTTTTTACAGTTTCCATCAGGCCTTGCCCTCATCCCGAAGTGTGTTCACAAGAGTCGCAGCCCTGCATTTCAAAACAGTAGACGAGTATTTCGCCATGAACTCAGACATGGATGGTGAGACACTGGGTGGAATCAGCATGTGGATTCATCTACAGCACACAGCACATCTACAGATTGATCTTTTTGAAATTGACAGTTAATAAGTACAGATTGATTCAACAATACACAATTTAACATAATAAATAACATATGGGGGTATTTTTGTTCCCTTTTCCTTCCAAAAGCAAGTTTTAGAAGCATAATATTTTGGAATGTACAGCATTACATTGTAAAGAATGTCTCCATGAATTTATATTTAACAAATATCAATAACACAAAATATACAAACAATTTATATACACACTGTACATATTCATACACAGACAAATAATCTACAAATATGCATACAGGTTCATACATACTATAAATACGACACACATACATATATTTACATAGTGCATATATAAATTCAATAGATAAAATTGTGGATAAAATAGATAAATTGTGAAATTACAATAAATTATATATATATATATATATATATATAAATATATATATATATATATATATATAAATTACTAATATATATATCTACTTTATTTCATGAAGTCAAATAATAATTAATCTTCAAAGAAACTCACAAATTCAGTTTCTTTTTTAAACATTTCTCCTTCACAAGTTCAAACCCTTGACAGTTTTTTTCTAACAAATAATAATATTTAAATGCATATAAATTAAAATCTTTATATCCTAGATTTTAGGAATATATACCTTTCCAACTAAAATGACATTTTAATAAAGATTTTGTGTATGATCACCCTCAAATTATTTTATTTGAATTCCATGGTAATTAAATGCCTAGTATAGCTAACCATTTTGCTATGTTCAATCAACAGGCAACAACGAAAAGGCAATACCAAAATAAATGCATAATGTCTTCTTATCTGAACATAAGCCTTTTCCAACATTATTCATTTCTTTCTTTCTTATTAATAATAAGCGTTAAAGGTGCCATAGAATGCAAAAAATCACTTTTATAAGGTGGTTGAACACTTTTTCAGTGACTCCGAGATTGCAAAGTGTGTAACTCTTAAGTTCATCTTCCAGGTGACATAGAAAATCAGGTGGAGTTGGAGGAGAAGACCAGACTTATAAACCAGGTCCTTGAGTTGCAGAATACTCTTGAGGGTAAGTAACCCACACTGCATGTTTTGTCACATAATGTTAACTAATGCTGGGTTCTTTAACCTTTTATCATATTATAAAACGAGCATTAATTTCTGTCTCTTTCTTGTTTTGATAGATCTCTCAGCTCGGGTGGACGCAGTAAAAGAAGAAAATCTGAAGTTAAAATCAGAGAATCAGGTTCTTGGGCAGTACATTGAGAACCTCATGTCGGCATCTAGCGTATTTCAGACCACTGACTCCAAGAGCAAACGGAAGTAAGAGGGCATCCTCTCTCCCAGAATCCCTTGTGTAGACAGCAACCCCATGCAGATAAACCCTTGCCATATCAGATCATTTAAACTTTCCACTAGGATTAATTTGATCCTTATGCCACTAAAATTATAAATGTTTACATTTATTTTATTTATCAGTATTGTTCTTTAACGTTTCATCTTCAACAACTTTATTAAACATGTTACATACTAAATCATTTTATAAAGATATTAACTTGTTCAACTAAGACTTTATATGTTGTTTTGCAGTTTTTTATGTTCAGACAGGGTATGATATTAATATTATTTGTAATATTTTAAATTGTTTTGTCTCACTAAACAACTTGATAATTGATTAAAAATTTCATATGTATTTTGTATTTCATTTCATATTTTTGCTTTCTAGATGAGGGTACGGCTGTGATGCCATGACAGTTGCTCTCTCCCGCTGAGCTGTTTGTCTGTATCAGCACTGATTATACTCATGTTGAGAGAAAACATTTCAGGCCATTCTGACCAGTGAGTGAAATTTAGACCCTTTCCTTGGTGCTATCAACAGAAGGGAGTTCTCTGGCATGCGTCACATCTGTGCCTCTGAATATCTCAGTGTATTAGTTGTGTTTGAATGTGTAGAATCTTACCATTGTGTGGCATTACAAATGCCAGTTTTAATTAAAGCTGCAAGCAGCGATGAACGGGCCCTCGCACCCGGGCTCACCGCCACCCGGTGGCTTTAGGAAAACAGCAAACAGTGGGCAATATGCAATAAGTGGTAAATATAGGAGGAATATGTCAAAGTCATTTATATGTGCCAAACTTCCTGCTGCCAGCTGGTGGCGCTATGATTATAACTGGATGTTGGCATGTAGATGTTTTCAGGCTAGCACTTTTATTAAACATGTGAAGTCTGGTGCAGATTGAACATGGTACGTTTCAGTTAGTGTAAAGCATGGCATATCTTGTTGCCAACAGGTGGCGCTATAATTATTACAGAAAATTGACGTGTAGATGTCTTCAGGCCAGTATTCTTACTAAACGTGATGTTTGGTGCAGATTGGACT